GTGTGGTATGTAATTATAATAATCAAGTAATGTAAAAATTATGTTATTGTTATTGCTATTATTATTTTTATTATCCAAATGCCTCTGGGAGGCTGCACTGAGTTAACCCAGTGCTGTTGGGTTTTGCTGGTTTTAATTCACAGCTCTGACATTCTGGACAAATGTCCTAAACCCAACAGTGTTTTCCTTCACCCCATATTTATCTCAAGGAAATATTTCAGCTAAATATTCTCATGGACAACCGTATTCCCAAAGCAAAATCCCATCAACATTCCCGAGCCTGACTGGGGCTTAGTTCCTGCTCGGTGGCAATACCTTTTTGTATCTTTAAGCCCTTTCTTGGGTGAGCACTAAAATCCTGTGCAAATATGAATTTGCAGTATCCTGGAGGTCAGGGCAGAACCTGCTCCCCAGCTGGGGGAGAAGCAACACCCACGGGAAGAGCTCACAGGACACGTTTGCTTTTAGATTCTTTGTGTTAATCCAAAAATCATCATCAATCCCTCTCTTTTTTTGCCCTTTTTGGGCCATGACACTAAAATACAAAATACCTGAGTTAAACCTCGCTGAGTTGTGTGTAAGTTGGGCTCAGCTCGAGCCCACCCCAGGAGTTTGGGTGGGATGAGGTTACAAATGCTGGGCGGGTTCCACAGACCCAGGAGCAGCAGCCCCAGCTTTTACTGGAACACCTGAAGTGATTGTTTTTAAAAAAACAATTGTTTTGTTTTGTTTTTTTAAAAAATTGGGGTTTTTAAATACAAAAATTTTATTTAAAAAATACAAAATTAAATACAAAAATTGTATTTCAAAAAGATACAAAGAAAACAGCTGCGAAGTGAAGCTTTTCAATCCCAGCATCTCCCAGAGCTGCGAGTCCCTCCCACCATCTCCTGAACTCACCCGAGGCCGGTGCCTCTCTCGTGGAAGGCAATTCTCACCCAGCATTAACTTCTCTGGACTTATTACTGGGCCAAATCCTGCATTATTTCCCTGCTGCCTGCAGCTCCCTCAGGCCTCTCTGCTCATTAAATTATGGCAAAAGTGCAGCAGGTCAAGCACTGGCTCATTCCAGGATCCACAAGCCAGAGCTGCCATCCCAGGGCTGGGAGACAACAGCCTGGGCACACACAGACTTTAAGAATAGCACAGAAATATCTATTTTATCAATATTTTTTCCTCCTAGCAAAAAATCTTTTGTTCTACTTTTCTTTAATTCCACAGCATTGATTTTTAATTTGATTTTTTTTAATGATGTGTTGATCGAGCAGCGAAGCAAAACACGTGAAAAGGAAGGATTTCTTTCCTAAATCCCACAGATTTTTGAGGACCTCTTTTGCCTTCCACAAGCAAGAGGAGATGCCCAGGAATTCCTCTTCTAACCCTGCCCCAGGCCAAGGTGTGGCTTTACCTGGAACACGGTGAGGATGGCGGCGGGGAAGGTGTCGAAATTCGTGGTCGGAGTTTCGTCTTGGAAATTGAACCTGGAGAGAAGGGAGAAACCAAAAGCGGAGCAGTGAGGGCCAGGCAGCTCCCAGGCATCTCCTAATCCCCTGGAACGTCCCAGAAACCCAGTCAGGGAGCAGCATTTGTTCCACCTGGCAGTAACAGCCCAGGCAAGCACAGCAGGGAACACGGTGTCTCTCAGAAGGTGCTCAACAGGACCATTAGCAGGAACTCAATCTCATTCCCAGAGAAAATTCAGATGCTTCGAAATTCGTTTGCAGCCACAATTAAAATGAACAATCCAAATCTCAAATGATTTTTGCCAAACAACCCATTCCAAGAAGTTTTCGTCCTCCGGTGCGAAAGCCCAAATTGAAATTACCCTCTTAGTAGATAATTTCTTTTTAATATTTTAAAGATATAATAGCAATTGACTGAGGGGAAAAAAAAAAAAAAAAGACCAAATAAACCCGTGTTATTTCATTTCAGAGTCAATGCTGGGGTTTAAATGATAATGCTGTGATATTTCGTGCTGGAAAATTCACCACAAGTGGCATTTCTAATGAGAATAATCAGATTCAACAGCACCATGTTTTCCAGCAGAAAAATATTCCAAGTGAATGAATACATTGTCACCCTGGATATCAGGGAAAGAATTTGCCTTTCCCTCAATAAAAAGTGATGCCTTCGCCAGGCCTGTTTCTTTATGGGGGTATGTGGGGACTGTGGGATGACAAAAGGGGCTTTGAATTAGGGTTGTTCTTTCTTAGGGAAGAGTTCGGCTCCAGGTAAAACCACTGGAACAGGAACTATTTTCCTATGAACTTCTCAGCAGCCCAGGAAGACTGAGAGTGCAGCAGGATGTGACCCTTCCAGCCCTGCAGCCCCAGGATGAATAATTAGACTTACTGTCCTCCAAAGAGCTGCATCCCCAGTAGAGCAAACACCACGATGAACAGGAACAGCAGGAAAAGCAAACTGATGATGGACTTCATGGAGTTCAGCAAGGAGACCACCAGATTCCTCAGGGAATTCCAGTACCTGTGTTGGAGATCAGAGCAGCCAAGAGAGAACGTGAGTGGGGGAAGAGCCTTTGGTGAGAAACAAATACGAATTATCTCCCGAGCGATAGGACGAGAGGAAATGGCCTCAGGTGGCCCAGGGGAGGTTTAGGTTGGATATTAAGGCAGCATTCCTTCCTGGAAAGGGTGGTCAGGCATTGGCACAGCTGCCCAGGGCAGTGGTGGAGTGCCCATCCCTGCAGGGATTTAAAAGCCCTGTGGATGTGGCACTTGGGGAGGTGGGCCAGTGGTGGCCTTGGCAGTGCTGGCCAACAGCTGGGCTTGATGATCTTGAAGGTCTTTTCCAACCTGACTCTGTGATTTTCTTACTATAAAACAGGAGAAGAATGACAAGGAATATCAGCCTCTTTAAGCTCCCTTCTGCTGTTGGAAAACACAGCTCATGGAGTGGAAAATCTCTTGGAGAATCCTGAGGGCAGAGGTGGTCACTTGGTGTGTGTGCACCCACACTGAGTTGTGTGCAGTGAATGTTTGGGTTAGTTCCTCCTCTATCCCCTTTCCTGGGATAGATTTTGACCTTCTGGCATCTTCTCATCCAGCACAGCAGCCAGATGAGAACTAAAATGCCCCGAATCATCACGGGTATCAAAAATCTATCAACATCATGAAGGTGACACTGAAGGTGGGAACAGTGAATCCAGCTCTCCATAACACACAAATCAGGAAAAAACACCTCATTCCCACCAGGACATCTCTGTGGTGTGTCCTTCCAACCCATCCAAAGCCAGTATCAACCAGTGGATTTAAATTCCCACATATTTAGACACTCCTGTAGGAGTTTCACACCCACATCAGTGCCCAGCCATGCCTTTGGTGGGGGGAAATTCAGGTGTTCAGGACAGAGCCTTGGAGGGGGGAGAACAAATCCAGGATGATAATTCCAACGTGGCAAGAGGGAATTCAGGCTCAGCCTGAATCTTGACTGACACATCCAAGTCACATCTGGCCAGATAGAGAAGATGGTTTGGTTTTGCCTCCCCTGTGCCCGGAGGCAGCTCCTGGCACACCCACAGGCAGGAACGTGGAGTGATGGCAGTGCTGGGAAGGGTCTCGGAAACAGCTCTTTCCTGCCTTTATTGCCCTGCTGAGAACAGGCAGGGAGGTTTATATTAGGAAAACTAATGAGTCAGGAAATGCAGAAAGAGCTGTGCAGCTCTTTGACGAGCTCCTTTTGGGCCCAGATTCTTGTGGAACAACGGGGTCGGAACAGGCAGTGGGAAAGGAGGGATTTGGAGCCATTTCACGTGTCCTCTGCTCAAAGTTGGGAGTCTGAGGCCATGGGGGAGGAATTTTTCCCTCTTTTTCTCCAGTGGCCTCTCTCATTTCCACTGCCTGGCACTGGGAGCTGCCCTGCAGAGCTGAATGCCTGCCCTGAGTGTCCTCCTGCTGCAGTTTGGGGTTGGATCCACACCCTGAGCCCATTCCTGCAGTGTGGCTGTGGGTCCCCAGCAGAAGGAAGCCCATGGATTTGTCAGATCTGCTGATGGGGAGAGAAGCTAAGAGCTGGAGTCACCATCCCCTTTCCTTTGTGTGTTTTCCCCCTCTTCCTTCCCCCAGGTGTAGCTGGGAGGACTGAACCACCCCATGTTCCTCTGTGCTGGGGGTGATGCAACCACATCCATCCCAGGAGAAGTAGGATGTTACACTCCCATTCCAAGAAAATTGACTTCCATAATACAGTGACAGAGGTTTCAGGATAAACTTTGGTCTCTCAGGAGAATATCTCCAGTGGAAATGTTGCGACCAAACCTGCTCAGGGTCAGTCCCAAAGCAAAAGGGGCTGAGCTGCTTTCCTTGGAGAGGGAGGATTTGCTGCTCCCACAGCTCTACCCTGCTGGACACAGCAGCTTCAGACCAAACCTGCCTCATCCAAGGGCTTCACACCTCACAGGGAACACAACTGGACCCAAAATCCATGGGAGCTGGAGGCTCTACCTTGTCCTGGAATAGCTCAACACCAAACCCTGACCCAGAGCACCAGGATATTCTGAGGAGCTGCATTTCTGCAACGTCAGTCCCTGTTCAGTTCTGCCATGGCAAAGACAAGCACATGAAGCTGGTTTGCCCTTGTCCTCCCTGCTGAATTTTAGCCCCTCTCAGTCTGTATCCCCTCCTGGTGGATCCTGCTGGCACCTTTCAGGCCGGCTGGAATTTCACTTTTTAACTCTTGCTGTCCATGGTCACTCTGATTTAAGACTGGGATTGAAAAGGTCTCATCCCACTGATTATTCAAAGCACGATTTTCTGTCCATGGTCACACTGATTTGGGATGCAGGAATCAAAATAATAATTGGATAATCCCACTGATTATCCAAAGCAGGAGGACTGAGTTTAACTCAGTTGGTTCAAACTTGGTTCCAAGAACACCAAGGTCAGGTTCAATCCCCTGTTTGGGCCATTCACTCGAGAGTTAGACTTGATGATCCTTGGGGGTCCCTTCCAAATGAGAACATTCTGGGATTCTGGGACTGCAATTGGCTTCTGCTGAACGTGGAGGGAAAATAAACCAGAGCAGGGAGTTGCAGAGAGAAATTCCTACGGAAGAGATTGAAAAAGGAGACAGGAAACTACTGAGGGTCAGGGTGTTCTCACAGCAAAGGCTGCAATGAGAGAGTGTGGGCAGAATCTGTGCCTGGTGGCAGCACTTTGGTGGCTCTCATGAGTCATGAGAGGACTGAGCTGTGCAGCTCAAACCTCGGGATAATGTGGGATCATCCCGTGGGAGCTGCAAGGACGTGGCTGCTGGTCACGCAACCGAGCACATTCCTGTCGTGTCAGGTGAAAATTCCACACAATCAGGTCAAGGGAACATCAGGATCAAGGGGGTGACAAAGTCACTGATGTCCTGAGAAAGGGGGAGCCCTGGGCTCGGTTTGTTGAGTTAAATCTCTTCTCCTGAGAAACGAGCAATAGGACAAGAGGGAACAGCCTCAAACTGTGCCAGGGGAGGGTTAGGGTGGATATCAGGGAAAAGTTCTTCACTGAAAGGCTTGTCCAGGCCTGGCACAGCTGCCCAAGGCAGTGGGGGAGTCACCATCCCTGCAGGGACTTAAAAGCTGTGTGGATGTGGCCCTTGGGGACAGGGGTTAGTGGTGGCCTTGGCAGTGCTGGGGGAACAGTTGAATTCGATGCTCTTGAAGGTCTTAAAGATCTTTTTCAAACTAAACAGTTCTTGTGATTCATCCCTCGATCCTACTGGCTAAAAGGAATAGTCAAAACTCACAAAAAAAATAAGATTTTACCTTCCAAAAATGGCCAGAATTTTGAAAAAGCACAACACACAATCAGACACAACAAATCTCAGTAGCTGGGGATAAAATTATCTGCTGATGATTCATTGCTCTGAATTTCCTACAAAACCAGGAGCTTCCCATACATAAGATTAGTGCAAAGGTAAACTACAGTGACATTTTTTGGTGCAGGTACCCACCTATTTTACCAGACAATCACAGAAACTTAATGTTTCCATCCCCTTTTTCCTGGAGTACAACAGCTGACACTGCATCACACACAAATCTGGGATCTGCACAATCCTGAACAGATACAAACCAGCAAACCCCCCAGAGCCAACAAAACCTGGGCCTTCAAACAGCTGCCAAAGCTCCTGGTGACTTCCAATGATTGGTTTGTTCCAGTGCCATCACCTGGGCCTTATTTATTTCAGGCAGTTGTGCACGAGGGGTGTTTTTGGCAGGAGTTCTTATTCCTCCTCCTGTTCCTTCAAGCCAAGGAGCGTTAAGGGAGTGATGGAAAGAAGGGAGAGCCGAGGAGGAAACGGTGGAAAAAAAATAAGGTGGAAAACAACAGCAGGGGCACCTAAATATGTCATCAATTTGCACACCAGGGCTTGGAAAGCCTGCAGAAATGGCTCTAGATGGGTTTCTAAATGGCACAGGAGCTGTTTGCTGATGCCAGAGCACATTAACGTGAGGCAGGAGCACAAAAACAAGGGAAAAGCTGTGGCAACACAACTCCAGTGAAAATTCAACCTCCCAGACGTGCCCTGAGCAGACACAGCACAGGCAGCAGCAAAACTCTGCCTATTTGTGTCAACACAGGGGCTCAGGCAGCAGGATTTAGCAGCCAGCAATACCCAGGGTATTTGGTTTTCCAGTTCCCAAATCCTTCAGGAGCAGCAGATGAGGACAGCGAGCAGCTGATGGGACTTAGAAAGTCAATAAGGAATTTGTTTCTTTTACCACAAGAGTTAAGGGGGAACATAATGAGGTTTTTGTTTTAAACAAGCCCAGAAACAAAGCAAAAAAAGGATATTTTCCTGCAGCCCATCATTACACTGTGGAACCCTCTGCCCAAGGGCAGAAAAGCCTGTACAGGAGGCTGGGGGGAAAAAAGGGCTGTTAAAAATCTTTGTGGATGCAAATACAGGCTCAGGAACTCCCAAAATTTCCAGCTGCCAGAAACCTCCATTGCCCAGCCGAGGAAAAGGGCAATTCTGCATCTGCAGTTCCCTTCTGCTCCTGCTCCCATCAGGACCATCCTAATGACATGTCAGGACAGGCTTTTGTACCAGCAAAACCAGGGGTTTGGGGCATAGTTTTGGGGGTTTTTTTCCCCTCCAGCTTCTGGTTATTTATTTACTTATTTATTTATTGTTTATAAATATAAATAATTAATAAAAATATAGATAAATAAAAATATCAACAAAACCACTCCTCCTTGCAGTGGGGTTGGTAATCCAGATTTCATGTGGTGCTAGAAGGCTACTGTGAAAGTGAAAAGGGAGCTGGACTTACTTTGTTACTTTGAAAATCCTCAGCAGTCGAAGTGCCCTCAATACACTGATGCCAAATGAGGTTCCTGGTTTCACTGCAGCCCAAATGACTTCAAATATACTTCCCACGATGACCTGCAAGAAAAAGGTTGTTTTTTTTAATATCCATAAGGCAAAACTTCTCATTTCTCTGTTGTGAGGCCGAGGAAAGCCCAGGAATCAGAGCTCAGGCTGTGATGGTTTTCTTAGGAAAACTTCAGGAAAATCATAAATTGGCCAAGAGCACTGGAAATCCCTAATTTAACCAAGAACACTGGAAATCCCTAATTTTACCACTGGAAATCCTTATCCCAACTTTCTGCAGCCCAGACTGAAAAAGGGCAATACCCAGCAGCAGAACACATTGGGATCTCCCATACACAGTCAGGAACTTATTCCTTTTTCTCCAGCAATCAAACTACCTTAAAATAACCTTTTTGGAATGACACTGTGCTTTATTATTGTATTTTTTTTAACACTGGCTCAACTGCAAATGCCAACACTTCGTTTTCCCACCCCACAGAGTGGGTCTGTGCAGAGATCCAGGGGGGCACTGCCCCGTCCTTCCCTGCCCATCAGAAGGACCAAAAATCTTCACCTGCAGCAGAACAGCGAAGCTCCGGGTGAGATCCACCAGAAACTTCTGGCAACTGAGAGTGTTTAGGAGGGCAATTAAAGCAATTGCTGTTGTGAGACCCCGCAAAGCCTCCAGCACACACATCCAACCAGCTGCCTCGGGGGATTGACAAAGTCGTCCCAAATCGAGGTGGATTTTTTTAAGTCCTGTTTTGTTTCGGCTGGGGGGTTTAAGGACGGCAGGGAATTAACCCGGAGCAACGGGAAAAAAAACCTTCTGAGAAATCCTTCATTACCAAAAGGACAAAGCAGCAATGGGTTAAGCACAGCCGGAAAGGGCAATTATCTCCGCGCAGGTTGCTGCACAGTTAATAAGATAAAACAGGCATTTCGCTGCCAATTGCTGTTATTGCTCACATTAACCCGGCATCTCAGAGCTCCCACTGCCCCTGGTCCCCGGGTGGGCAAAACACACCATAAACCCTCTCAGCAGAACCCAGCAAGCAGCTGGTTTGTGCTGGGGGAGGGAATGTTAACAGGGAGCCAGGGCTGGGTCTGATACCTGCAAGAAACGCTGTGCCCCGAGCTTCAAAAAAACAAAAAAAAAATCAGGTACACGGCAGTTGCTCATCCCTTTTGTCCCATCCGAAAAAGAAGGAGCTAAAACTTCTCTCCCGCAGTTTCTCACTCTTGGGAATCCCTCGTGAATCAGCAAAACCCTTCCCTTGGACCTTCCACATGTTACACTGATAATTAATTATCTCGGCATCCCAGCAGGGCCTCCTGGGAGCCCGTTTCACAGGAGACCCCTCTGGACTGGGACTCCCAAGGCTGATGTTGCTCTGATTTGTTGTTTCGCGTTTTGCATTTGAATGGTTTCGTCTTGACGGTTTGTCAGACTAAACTGGCTACAGATCTATGTGATGTTCTGGGGGCTGGAAGGTGGGTGAGGAGGAAGAAATATAACCAGAAGTAGGATCCCTGCGGATTCTCCGAAGGAGGAAGAATTAAAAACAGATCAACAGCTTGAACCTCCTGGGAAACACTCTCAGAGCTCGTTGCCAGCGCTGCACAAACACAGAGAGACACTGGGGGGTTTGTCTTTGGCCGAGTGCAAGCTCCTAAATCACCTGTCCCTGACTGGCAGGTGCAAGGGCTGGTTGTGGGAGGAGCATCCCGGACACAGGGATCCAAGGAAACTCACAGCCGGCTTGGAGCTCACCTAATCCATTGGTGAGAGACATCAGCCTGTTACCAGGGAATTTAAACAAGGCAGTGATATGAGAAATAAAAATAAGGTGTTTATATTATGAGAAATAAAAATACGGTTCATATATATATATATATATAGGCATAATGTGAAGTTGTAAGATATCCAAGTTCCACAGACTGAACTTGGGTATCAGGGTCATTTTCAGCCAGATAAGGGCCATCCAAAAGTTCTTAAAAATTAAAATCTTTTGGGGCCATGTTGCACACGAGGTTCCTTTTCTCTTTGGGCTAAGAACAAAGGAAGATCCATCATCTTTGACAGGGGATGGCTCACAGCCAATTGGAATAAAGGGAAAGCCCCTTTTCAGAGAAAAGAAACCTTTTTAGGTAAAAGTGAATATATTAAACTTATCTGAAAAAGGGTGGGATTTTGTGAAACTATAAAATGTGTGGAATTTAAATCCAAATGGTCTTTTTCCCTGGAAATTCAGTGAGAGAAAGACCCAGCATGCTGAATAAATTCTTCCTTGTTTCTTTGTTCCCTGAGTTTAGGTCTTCTTCCTAAATTTAAAAGAGGGATTTTTCCCACACAGGTGATCCCTGAGCTGGGGGCTTTCATCTCAAAGTCAGTTCACTCTGAGCTTTCCAGCCAAGAAGAGAGTGAGTTGTTTCTACTCCTAGCCTTGGATTGAGGAGAGGTCACTTCCTGAAGGTGAGAATTCCTCCTCCCTCGAGGGAATTTTGCTCCGTGGGGGAGGAGAGTCACTCCCAGCATTCTGACAGACAAACAGTAGAACCAGCAGACTGAATCTTAGAGAGCAGGGCTGGATGACGTGCACAGTGACCTGAACTGTTCTCCCCTTGCCCCTGGCTGGATTGAGAGCTTCATATCTGCTTTGGTACAGAAACCTCCCAGCCCCAATCCTGCTCTGCCCACGCTGAAGATAAGAGACAAGTTATCCTCTGTGAGGACAGATTACAGCCTAATAGCTTTTAATGAATAAATTACCATCCACACACCATGTCCTTTGTTAGATGGAGCCAAAAGCAGCCCCACTATTCACACTTCAGAGCTGTAGTTTGAGCCTGGAACTGTGTCCAGTTCTGGGCCCCTCAGTTCAGGAAGGACATTGAGGTCCTGGAGCAGGTCCAGGGAAGAGCAACAAGGCTGGTGAAGGGACTGGAGCACAAGTGCTGTGAGGAGAGGCTGAGGGAGCTGGGGCTGTTCAGCCTGGAGAAGAGGAGGCTCAGGGGAGACCTCCTCACTCTCTACAGCTCCCTGACAGGAGGGGGGAGCCAGGGGGGGGTTGGTCTCTTTTCCCAGGCAACCATCAGCAAGACAAGAGGGCTCGGTCTTCAGCTGTGCCAGGGGAGGGTTAGGTTGGATATTAGGAAGAATTTCTTTGCAGAGAGGGTGATCAGCCATTGGAATGGGCTGCCCAGGGAAGGGGTAGATTCTCCATCCCTGGAGGTTTTTAAGACAAGACTGGATGTGGCATCAGTGCCATGGGCTGGGAACCACGGTGGGGTTGGATCAAGGGTTGGACTGGATGATCTCTGATGTCCCTTCCAGCCCAGCTGATTCCATGAATCTCTGACTCTGGATGTGGGTTATTGCCTTCCCGTCACAAATCATGGGTTTACTCTTCTCCTTCTGGGCACTGCAAAGAGCTGCCTGTGCATCTGGAGGGAAAGGCCGTTCAAGGGATGACAGAGGAGATGAGCAGGAAGATGTGTGGGGTTTTTGTCCAGTTTTTGTCTTTCAATCACCTCATTGAAATGGGAGGGAGAATCTCCCCGGGCAATCAGAGCGTTGGAACACCCCAGAGTTTCTGAGGAAATGAAACCCCCGGCTGTCACTTTGCCTCCAAAAAGGATGATAACGAGGGGAAGCTTAACGTGTTTAACTGCAGTTAATTTATGCAACCACTGCTCCCTGCAGAAGAAACACTCCCAGCACCATTTCCCATGGATTGCCACAGCCACCCTGGAATGCCCATCCTGCTGGATGACAGCAGAGCCACACAGGGACTTTTTTCAAGGACATGGAGTGCCAGGACAAGAGGGAATGGTTTCATGCTTAGATTTGATATAGGGAAGGAATTCTTCCCTGTCAGGGTGGGGAGGCCCTGGCACAGGTTGCCCAGAGAAGCTGGGGCTGCCCCATCCCTGGAAGTGTCCAAGGCCAGGCTGGACGGGGCTTGGAGCAACCTGGGCTAGTGGAAGGTGTCCCTGCCTGTGGAAGGGATGATTTTAAGTTCCCTTCCAACCCAAAGTCTTCTGTGATTCATCTTACTCACCCCAAAGTCAAAGCAGTTGAATGAAGAGTGGAAGTAGTTCCTTGGCCCCAGTCCATACATCTTCAAAGACATCTCAGTAAGGAACAGCCCCAGGAAAACAAACTCTGCAAAATCTGGAAACAGGGAAAAAGAGATTAATTAGCCCATGAGACCTTGGTGGGCAGATCCCTTCATGTGGGGAACAATGGTATTTTTGTACAACCCAGAGTGACTCCTGGCAGAAGAAAATCCCTCTGCAATGGCAAACAAGAGCCAGAGCAGAGTTTCCCATCATTATTTCTGTGTGTCCATGAGCTGTGAGCAGCCTTCAGGAGCTGTGCTGTGGAATGGTGGCATGAGTATTAAATAATATGCTCACTGTTTTTATAAAGGAATTTCAAAGGAAGCCTCTGGATCTACTCTTTCTAAAGGTCTAATTTAATTGCACAGATAATGTTTTGCAGTGATGTGTTTGGGCCTTCTGTACTCACAAGAGATGGACACTTTTGGGTGTGGGGTGTTGAGTTTCTGTAACATACTCTGCTGATAAAAATACCTTCCTATCCAACAGAACTGCTGACTCTGAGGGCTCATATTCAGAGGTGTTGTGTCTACTGTTACCACATTTATTTTTATTATGCCTTTATAGCCCTATAACTGTGGAAGAACAAGTTCTGTTTCCTTTGGCTTCACATATCACAGGCAAATAAGCTGTGAAGCTTTTGATGGGAAAATTTATCACCCATGATGAAACAAAGGGCTGGAGACTTCAATTTCTAGCTGAGGTTTTCAGGACTTGAAGCTACAGAAAATACCACCTTTGGCATTTTAAGTTTGGATCGGGAGGCCAATTAGCAACAGCAAGAATAAAACATTAAAAACAAACAAAAAAAAGGGCCAAAAAACACCTCCACTGCCAAAACAAACCCAGTAGAATAAGGCAAACCTCTCTCTCTCTGGAGAAGAGATGAAGAAAAGAATCAAACCTCAAAAGGTGGAGATCAATCACCTCTCTCAGTGCAGCACGGCAGGCTCCTGGATGTTGGAGCAGCAAAGTCTCCTGGAATTTCAGTTTT